TCCCACCCATCCCACCCCAGGGGAGGACATCCATCACACAGTAATCTCGTGTGTGGGAAATTAACGTCTCCTACCCCAACCCTGCAGGAGACGGGACCTCCATTTATTCGTCCCTATCCGAGAAGACTAGAATATCTAACCATTTCTTGATGTTATAGAAAGGCAGCAAATTCTTCTCAATTATTTTAAGACCCTGAGTGTTGGTCCGGCCGGGGCTCGAACCCTCGACCTCCCGCACAACAGTCCAGCGCTCTATCCATTGAGCTAACCGGGAGGCGGTTGTAATAGGGATTGGCACTTTCTCTAACATTTGCAAAGAAGATGCTACGAAGACATCTGTTCTGCTGAATACAGAGGCATTTTAAGTTAGTATTAGTGGCACAGCCCCAGGTAGTTATACCATAGCTTAAATAGGGATATATCGAAGCATAGTATATATTTTTTAACATATTAAATTCGACATAATGTCTCAATATAGTAAGAATTCCAGCGTTTCTTGCTATTTTATTGTTTATATGTTGTATTTGCGGTTGCCAATTTAGGTGCTTATCGATATAGACTTCCAGATATTTTATGTAATTCTTTGATTCAATGTTTTCAATATTTTCAATATTTATATTTTCGTAAAATATCGGTGTTGTCAACGGCAACCTTCCTCGTTTACAATGATAACCGGATCCAAGTCGATCTCAGCACTCACATACTTTGACAATGTTTTTCCCTTATACAGATTTATTAATCCCTTCATCTAGAAATAATCTTTAAGCGTAAAATGGTCGCCAGTATTTTGGAACAGAACGTTTCGTTTGTTTCTCATCTGCTTTTTCAATGCTATTGAAATTTTAACTCATTTTTTCTGATTGGCTTTTGAATTGTCTGTCTAAAGGCTTGATATATTCAGTTTTTAGTAACTTAAGGGACCGCACCGCAACTCAATCGCCTTAGGTGCATGGCCTCATCTTGTTCGTTCAAGCGTTTAAACAATATTGCTACAACTATGCATGCTGTCAATTGTTTAGTCAGTCGTCTCCAGACAGGATAACTAGATAATTTAGCATGCTCTGAGTTTGTTTAAGTAAAAGGAGTTCAGTTCACAAGACAAACGTTCTCGGTTATGTTCCTGTAAAATAAGCTTTTCAAAGGACGGTTAGTCCACTTTACATTCATTACTTGTGTTGTCGTACCCGGACGGTGTGGCCAGACGTATCACTTCTGGTTCAGTATCATTTGAGCTGCACTCATGGGATTCCTCCTGGCTGTCACAGTCCGTAGTCATTTCTACATTCTCAACATGACATGCTGCTGTAAACCGGAAAGGATCTCCTCTCTTGCACGCTATCGATACTCTCCCGAGACCAACGATCACGATGTCTACTGAAATTTCAACACTTCTCTCCAACTGATACTCGCCTTCCTTTATGACAACGACTAGGTTCTTCCCCTCAACCTTCTCTACATTTTGAATAACACATCGCAGCTGATCTGAAGTTTCCAAAACATGGACCTGGATCTCTCCATAGTGCTGAGTGACTTCCGGGATATCCCGACCTAGGCTCAAGTGTTTAAACACTGCAGCAGCAGCTAGTGCTTCTGGCTTTCTGCCCAGCTCTGCCAAGGTTACAGAATTGGCACGGTAACCAAGTAGCCAGGAAGGGTCAGCTTTGATGGCAGCTTCAGTATCGCTTAATGCAAGCTGCAGCGAAGACTTTCTCTCCAACGGACTACCTTTTTGTTGTTGGGCAGATTTTAAATAGGTTGACGCCCTGCTAGTTAGAATCTTTGAATTGTTTGGACATAGAGCCAGACACTTGTCATACACCGCCAGTGCTTCGTCCAATTGGCCGCGATCGAGGTGCGCCTTCGCAGTTTCTTTAAGACTTTGCATGGACTCAACTATAGATGATTGTACAATGTTCTCCATGTAAATGGGTTTCTTGGACCTAAGTGGAACACCACTATAGCACGTTATTTGGACGTTGCCATGACCAACCATTATCGTATTTTTTGGGATCGTCAGGGGGTCTGTTAGCTGGTACCGTCCTTCATTCACCACAATGACTAGATTTCGAGTATCTGTTTTCTCTGTTGGAAATTGAAAGTCTTGTACTGTGTTAACGACATGTACATCAAAGTTTCCAAAGCGATCCACGACTGCTGGAATGATTGTGCATTTCGATGGGAAAAGATGCCGAGCAATCGCAGCTGTAGCAAGACTAGGATCTCGTTTGCCAAGATGAGCAAGACAGACAGCCTTCCAACGGTACCCCTTTTCCCAGGCAGGATCGTTCTTTATAGCATTCTGCGAATCATCCAAGGCATATCTAAGCCATTTCTGTTTATCATCCACTGAGCATTGTCTCTCTGATAGTTTTAAACATGTTGCAGCTCTATTAGTCAGCAACTTGGCATCATTTGGAGACAAACTTAAAGCTTCAGAATAACGTAAATATGCCTGATCATAATCGTGGACTTTGAATGACTTATTACCTAACTCTTTTCGTTTTCGGGTAGCATACATAACAGAATCACATGGTGGCAAGCCCTGGCGGACCTCTGCTTTTGCTTCTGCACTACACTCTTCTAACAACTGCATGCAATGTTGGGCTTCAGCTTTATTTCCTCCGATAAGGTGAACTGCTATTAAATTTCTATAGGCGGTTTGTAGGCCTGAGTGCGTTTCACCGTAGAACTTTGTTCGAATTGCTAATGCAATCTTCGCTATTGTCAAGTACATGGGTACCTTGCTCATTTCTGCTGGGTTTTTAATCGTTGGTTTGTTTGTTTTGAGAGCAACACACCAGCACTCTACCAGACATTCTAGAATTCGGGCTGCGTGGTCATCGCTTCCATCCTCAATTGCACTAGTTTCTGTACAGCAGTTGATCACGCTTTTGTATATACGAGGCCACCTTTCTTGGAGCACTTTTAGCAGCAATGCTTCCGATTTCTGGCTATCAAAAGAGCTAAGTATATGGAGAGCGTCGGTCATCCCTCTGATGTAATAATCAGACATATGTGGCATCTTCTTGCAGACTTCCAACATTTCCTCAGCATATGGCTTTGCCTCGACCCGCTTTCCCTCACTGAGGAGTAGAGTTCCAATATGCTGAAGAACACGTAATAGTGCTCTCCAATCTGTAGGTTGCAATTTCCTGGCAAGCCTCAAGGCATTCTTGTGGCGCTCCAAAGCTGGTTTGAAGTTACAAGCTGATACGTAGTTCTCTGCTCGTGCTATTAACATTTGAAGATCAACGAAATTAGCAGGACTTAGTTTCAGGCTTTCAAGTTCTAGCAACGCTTTGTGGTTTTTTTCCCACTGTTTCTCCATTGCGTAATAGGAAGCCTGGTGCTCAAGAATTCTATATTTTACATCTTCATCTATGGTTGCTCCAGAATTCTCAAACTCATGAAGCCTCTGCACTGCTTTCTCGGCGAGTTTCTTTGCTTCATTGTAGCTTTTGACATCACTACAGTTTCTTTTATTGACACATGTGTTTGCCATCACATCAAGAATTCTATTGGGATCTTCATGATTCCACAGTATTTCAACTTGCAGCTCAAATTCTGATAATTCAGCTTTCAGCTTATTAAAAAATATGTTCATTCTAATTAGCCTATTAACAAATCCGAATAATTCGATAAAAGTGCGATCTTTGCAAGTACAATGGACAAAATTTTCCGTTGACGATTTTAATTCTGATTGTAGATGATCTTTTAACTTTCGAATATTTAGCAAAAGTGCAATGATGATATTTCGGTCTTCTTCGTTTAATTCTGACCAGTTTTCTACAAATTCACGATTCAACTTCAAACTGGACTCACTCTTCTTTCTGAGTGCATGATGTAGAAGGCGCATGGCCGCATTTAATGTTTTTGTCCTTACGGGTGTACTCAGGCTATCACGAACCACTTCTTGAACGAGTTTGTGGACACCAAATACTCTGCTCTTCTGATCCACTGAGAAAAGAGAATAGCAGGTCAGTAATTTGAGGACTGCAGCGATGTCAATCTCAGAGGACGCAGCTTTTCTTAACTCGACTTGATCCAGCACAGGAAGTCCAGAATTGATGACTTCGAAAGGAATATTTTCAGACTCTAGAAAGGATGCGATACGCATCATGGTGGCGGCAGCAGGCGATTTTTCAGCTACAAACTCAAAATTCATTTCCCAGGTGGTGTGTACAGATAAGCGATGCTGAGCCTCTACACTAAAAGCTGTTACTGGCTGCTGCTCTAAGAGACGGAGCTTTACATCTCGGTACTTGTCGAGGTAAGCTTTGAAGGTACAAGGAATGGGGAGCGCAGATATGTAAGCCGCTGCTTGCTCGAGGGCCAATGGAAGACCTCCCAGTTCTTTTGCCAGATCGATTGCTTCCTTGTAAGGGGATTCCCCTTCAAGACCTGTTCTTCGCATTAGAAACAGGGCGCCTTCCTCTTCAGTGAAAGACTGCAGCTCCCAACAATCTTTGGGCAACAGCTTCAACAGCGTTTTGATATCTTTCGCATTTTGCCTGGTGGTGAACAGTATGTGTCCATACTTTGGTGCTTTTGCATTCCTTTGCCAGGGCCCTTTGCATATTTTGATCACACCGCTGGGACACTTCGGGCTTGTCAACTCATCTGCATTGTCTACTACAAGAAGCCATGGATAACTCTTATTCGATAAAAATGCCAGAAATCTGTTCAGGGAGTCGTCAAGATTCTCACCTGTCGACGCAGGGATGTTTAGTAGAGCAAGATTTTCAGCAACTGATTTGCTTACATTTTCATCAGTTTCCCCGTTAATCCAGAACACTCCACCTTTGAAGTGTTTCTTACTTCTCCAGACAAATTCTACAGCCAATGAAGTCTTTCCGCATCCTCCAAGGCCACAAATGGTTTTTGTGCAGCAAGACGTATCTGAAAAATATGCAGAGTCCCTGTCAGGCACCAAATTCTGTTCTAACCAAACCAGAGCGGGCTCACGCCCAGTAAATTCCTGTAATCTACAGGGTGCGGTACAAAGTGCGGCAATATCTTTTTTTTCTTGTCCATTTGAAGATTTCTCTTTCAAAGTTTCAACTTCACTTTTCACTTCTTTCACTTCAGATTTCACGCTATCGAGGCTGATCCCTAAGTTGGCCACTTTATTTGTTGTTATGTTGAGTTCCAAGACAATGTTACGCATGCAGCTTGCTACCTCGTCCAGATCCTCGCTGATAACTTCTAAGGAACCCTGCAAATCATCTCGCTCATTAACTAAGCTATTGAAATTTTCAACTGTTGCTATAATCTGGGAAAGTTTCTTCTTTAGGTCTCTGTCTCCTTCCACGATGTCACTGCATTGCTGTCTAAGTTTGACAATCTCTTCTCGGTGCATTTCATTTTGTCCTTTCAGTTCGAATATTTCTTTGCGGAAAAACTCTTCACTCTTCGTTATCTTTGCGTCAAGCTGCCTAACATTCCCTTGAGCCTCAAGTAGTTCCCCCTGGCCTTTTCTCAGGTCGCTTCTTGTAGCATGTACCTCTGCAGCCAGCCCCGCAAGCTGCTCCCTTAGCTCAACAGTCTCTACTCTGTTTTCTTTGCCTTGATTCTGTACTTCTGATAAATCCTCTTTGCACTTAACTAGATCCGTAACAAGCGTCTGACGCAGCAACTGAAGAGCACGTACTTCGGATTCCCTCGCCGTCAACAGCCCATCATGAGAAAGGTCTTGTAAATCTTTAGCAGACTTCTGCGCCTCTTTATCCGTGTTGAAAACTGGGTCATTCAGCAAATTGTTAAGGTGTCCAAAAATGGTGTTGACTTCTGAATCTTCAAGTTCCTGTTTTGGTGAATGGGCCCAGTGATTTCTTCCCTTGTCCCGAACTGCACTCAGAACGGCTCGATTGACCGTGGGATTGATGAATGGACACCACTCTAATATGTTTAGAAGCCCGCCAATATCCGTCGTGTTGGAATCTGTGATGACTCCTTTCCGTGTTCCCAATGTGGGCATGAAGACCTTTGCAATTTCCCATGCCCCAGTCGGAGATCCCCATTGTTGTCTATCGCTGTTGTCCCAGCAAATCTTTGGTCGTGGGGACTTGTGGAGGCGCTCTAGCTCCTTCTTCCATGTGGTGCAAGTGGCACACTTGGACGAGTGACGTGTACAGGTATGTGGGGAAAGTGAATGCAGAGGAGGGCTGGAAATGAGGTATTGGTACCAGGTTTCCATTTTCCTTTGGATAAGCTGTGTAATTCCATTTTTAGTTATATTGAGGGCACATCCAACCATTACCCAGTTTTTGTGCTCTTTTTTATCAAGCTCTGCCGTCCACACAGAAGCCATCTTGTATTTATCGAGTCTAAATTCTAGAAATCATAAACGTTTGTTAGCAAACCATAATCAGACATTCGTGTCTCCCTTTTTGTAGGGATTTTAGAGGTGGAGGGATTCCAGATGCCATGCCAACAAGGTTTAAATGTTACCAATCATCTTCGTTAAATAGGATTACAATTCTGTTGAATGCGGGTTCAGGAAAATAGATATCGAGTTTTTGTCCGTAATTGAGGACTCTACCGGCTTTTAAGAATAAAGAAACAGCAGAGAGCCGGGCATTTGGCAGAGATTACATCCCCCTTTTAGTTTCTAAAACTTTTTACCCTCGTGTTTATCTTTTTGTGTTATCGCTAGCGACAAAAAAATCACACTAGATAATAAATTGAAGAGGTTTCAAGTGGTAATTTGCATAAATGTTGGTTGCGCGTGATGGAACCAACTCCTAAATTCCCAAGGGGTTTCTAGTAAGCAAGAGTAAATCGCTTCCTTAAGGCTGGTTTTCATTAGCGACGGAGTCGGAGTCGTAGTCGGAGTCGTAAGACCGCTTATGACCTAGTGAAAATCGAAAAACGGAGTCGTAAGCGGAGTCATTAGCTCGACGGAATCGGAGTCGGAAGAATCAGAACGTTTCCATTTTCTTCCGATTCAGCTTATGACTCCGTCGCTTACGATCTAGTGAAAACCGCATTTTCGGAGTCGGAAGCGGAAGCGGAGGAATAAACCAATCACAATGCTCAATTCCAGGCCCGCGAAAGTACAAATTTTGGCGCCAAAGAAAACATGGCGGACGAAGAGCAACTTTGCCTCTTATTAATCATTATTTTGCGCAGGCAGAGACAATACAGGAATAATATCGTTCGAAAAAGAAAGA